TTAAAACATACGAAATGTCAAGATACATACATTATAATGTATATTCTCTATCAGAAATGGATATATTATTATTATATTAAGATTTTTTATTCGTCGACTGCGATTAAACAGTCACATAATGTAATCATGGTCAATTTCAATTATTGCAAGTTAATAATTGCACAATGTAAACGTACATTACGTATACATATATATATATATATGTACAATTACAATAATAATGGGTCCTGGTCGTCAGGTTGCAACTTGATCCGTTAGCGAGAATCGATATAGAAATTTTCTTTGCTCCGATTGGCTGACGATTCACTGCCTGAGACAGTATGTGCATTACGGTGTCACGGCATTACAATGGTGGGGATCAGGATCCCCACCATTTCCAACTTTGACATGAATATAGTTATGAATGTATTTCGAATATTTGAAGTGAGCATATATGAGCAACCTTCAATATCATTTCATTTAAAAGTTCGAAAGCAAAATTTTTAAACCAACAATTTTCAAGTGTCAAAGCCATTTACGCACGATAATACGTGTTTCTTCTTGGGCATTTGATCATAGCATTAATATTATGACATCTACAGTACAGATTGACGGAAGTTTAGGCGAGGGTGTAAGTATTTAGAATCTGTTCATTTTTTAAAAACGAAACTACCGTTAGGTTATAGGATCGATAAACCGTAAATGTTAGATATTAATACAAATTTATGTTCTTAATTTTTGTAAGGGTGGCCAAGTATTGAGGATAGCATTGTGTCTGAGCGCATTGTACAAAATACCAGTGAAAATTAATAATATTAGAGCAGGTCGACCGAAACCTGGACTAGCTGCTCAACACTTAAAAGGTATACATATTCATAATTAGGTAATCTATATTTATGATTAAATTAATTCCCAATCAAATATTATTATAGGTATCGAATTATTGAAGAGTATGTGCAACGCGGAAGTACAAGGAGCAAATCTAGGATCGACTAGCATAGAGTTTAAACCGAATAACTTAAACTCGGACAGAAGACATACATTTGTCGTAGATACAGGAACTGCTGGTTGCATCTGTTTGTTAGCCCAAATAGCATTGCCCTGTGCTTTATTTTTTCCACGAGGAGATGTTGTCACATTAATCCTTAAAGGTGGTACAAATGTTCCTATGGGGCCACATATAGAATATCTTACAGAAGTTTTAAGACCTTTACTTAATAAATTTGGAGCTGATTTTGACTTCAGAGTTGTGAGAAGGTACTCGACATGTTATAGATAAAATGAGTTCCCATAATGCTTAACATAAGGTATAGATCGTATTATTTAGAGAATATTAATTTTTTAATGATCAATGGAGGGGTTATTATCCAAAGGGAGGCGGAGAAGTGCGTTTATACGTAAAACCTGTTCGCGTTCTGAATGCTGTTAATTTAATTGATCCTGGTGTACCTAAGGATATAGTAGGATGGGCATATGTTGCCGGTGTTGTTTATATCGAAGTATGCATTCCGTGTATTATTGTGTTGACGGCCACTCTATTTCTAATTAAATAATAATTTTTCACAGGAAGCACATAAAATGGCGAACGATGCTAAAGAAGTTCTGATAGAAGGTTTAAATAAATACGATATTCCAATTTCACAGATAAACATTGAATGTTATAAGGAAGATAAAGTTGTAGCCTTCGGAAATGGGTCTGGCATCAAGTGAGATATTAAAGTATTCTAAAGCAATATGATTCTACGAATTATATTTAATAATGAAACATAATTCGATACTAGTGTAGTGTGCACTACCACTAGTGGATGTGTCTATGGTGGTTCAGGATTGGGTACCAGTCGTCGAGAACAAGTTATACCAGGTGTACAAGCAGCTGGAGAAATCTTAAACGCAATTTTAGCAGGGTCTTGCGTTGACGAACATGCTCAAGATCAAGTATTTCTATCTATAACATAGTATAAAATTCTGTTATTATATGTAATTATGTAATTGAACTTTCTTTAATGTTTGTTTATTTCAGTTAATAATACTGATGGCTCTAGCAAAAGGCACCTCGAAAATTAAACTTGGAAGTCAAAAACTAACTTGTCACACCGAGACGGCTATAAAAGTGGCAGAAATGATGTTAAAACATTATAATCTTCGGTTTAAATTGAATGAAAAAAAAGTTGGAGATAACATTTCGTATACTTTAGAGTGTGAAGGTTGTGATTATAAACCTTTAACAACACAATAAATAAATGTTGTACGTTTCTTTTTATATTGTAATTGTAGCGCAGTCTCCTTAAAAATAATTCTGAGAGAAATACATTCCATACGAGGATACGGAATTGTTCCGGAGAATCTATTGTGTCGATAGCGTGTACAGAAACAACTGACGACTGTGAAACTGTAATTAAATGCTCCTTAAAGTATCGTTGACATTTATGTTAACTAATTATATTTTGATTTTCTTCCACGATATCGATGCAACAACAACAGATTCTCCTAAACAGTTCTGTGCCCCTGGCTTAGTCTTTCATGCCCCAATTTTGCCATAATTAATGTTTTCAGGCGATGTGTCCGCATTGTGCATACGCGCGGACGATATCTATGTACATATATTATACTGTTCGAGTGTATGCACTTAACCCTTTGCGCTCAGAGAATTTTTACAAATCACTATCAACTCGAACGTATTTATTCGTGAAGTAGTAAGTACATATGCGTATAAGATCTTCAAGTATAATATTAAATGATATAACGTTGGAAAAATAATAAATATATTTAAATAGAATATAACACGAGATTATATGGTAAAAAAGATTTGTAATTTTGAAAATGCCACAATTCCGAGCAGCTTTTTTTATGTCTACCGAGGATGGGGATCGGAGTGCCAAAAGGGTTAATATTAAGATACTCAATATTTTTCTTTCGAGCTTTTCTTTGGCAATGAAACTCGAATAATTTACATTTACGAATTTCTGAAGTTTTATAAAACGATTAATAAATACATTTTATAAAAAAGAAAAAAAGAAACTTATTATTATTAACACATTGGTTGATCAAAAATCATTTTTCATACAATTCATTCCTGTTTTTGTCGAAAAAATGGTTCTATCGTTCGTAAAAATTCTCTTTCAAATACCTCATCTGAAAACCGGCTTACGGATGCTCTGAAAAGTATTATATAAAAATATTTGTGATACTCGATCTTTTTTCCATTGCTTGCGCAATAAATACCTGGCTGTCATTTTAATGGCGTTTCTGTCTTCTGGATGCATACCAATGATATGTGCCATAATCGTTGCATACTCTTCAGCTTCTTCAGCCAAGAAACCATTTTGCGACCCTGGTTGAGTTTCAATTATATCAGCTCTAGAATTATTAATAAATACATTAAGGCATTTTTCTACTACTTGTTTCGCAACATTTTTCATTTCTTTTTCCTTTTTCCTTTTTCTTAACAGAAGATCACCTTGGTCCTCCAGAAGCATGAGCCACAACAATTAATCCTGCAGCCATACATTCAACTACGCTGATACCAAAATGTTCATTCCACATAGTATGTAATCCTATCGTTGCCCTTTGAAGTTCCGATACGAGCTCGGAATATGGTATATTTAATTTAAATTCCACGTTTTCGTCTAATGCAAAATGTTTCGATAAATCCTGCATGTCTTTAACACGTACTTCGTCTTCCACATTTCGGCAAGATCCAATAAGGATTAGGCGAATCTGGAATGTTCATGTAACGTGATGTGATCACTTTTCTATATTTAATTGAATTTGTACCAAATGTACCTTATCCCAAATTTCTTCTTTAACAATTGATCTAAGTTCGTACATCGCTCTCAGCATTAATGGATGATTTTTTTCTGGCCTGAATTGTGCAACTGAAACTATACGAATAGTATCGCTTTTATCGTCCTCGTTAAAAAGCTTTAATTCTGTTAAGTGTTTCACGTCGCACGGTGGATAGATCCTATGAGTTTTTAGTGGACACTTCCAAATTGCGTTAATGTGATCCTCCGTCCAAGAAGAATTAACCATGATAATTTCGGCGCTACTGCCAGCCCATCCATAAATCTACAGCGATTACTATTGATGACGATATACAAGCTTATTATACTTGTATTATATGATACCTTTCGATCCTAATCTACTTACAAACGCAAACAATTTGTAGTAAGCGATTTTAGCTGCTGACAGAAATGGATTTCTAGCTATAATTCGTCTGTTATTATGGGAAATAACTCTTCTGTAAATATGCCGTAACATATCGGTTGAAATTGTAGGATAATGCGTGTACGTTGCTACTCTACATCCTCCGATATATCTGAATAATGGATACGTAAATGCATAACCCATTGTATCGATGTAAATATCTAAAATTATACTTTAGATGTATGTTTTGACGAGACACAAAGCATTCGATGCATACAATAATCGCGAACCTGGTACGTAGCTATTTAAAGCTTCGATGCCTAACCAAATTGATCCTAAGCTTTGACCCAAAAGGGTAAAATATGGATACATCGTAGCTTCCACCCATTTGCGTTTATGTAAATAAACAAATTCCAACTTTCTCTCAATTTTAAAATTGAACACTGTTTCTGCTTTATTGATAATTTGTTCTGGATCCGCATCAAGGTCTCCCGTATAAATCACAATATGTACATCTGGATATCTGAAATAAAAAAAGAATGCGAAAAATAATAAGGATTTCGATAATCTACGAATTGAGCTGGATCAAGAGTAAGGCTTATTATATACCTAGTTTGTATGGCTCTAACTGCAGCCCAAAGTACTCTTTCACCACCACCACCCGAATTACAATACGGATGGAAGATGCCAACGACAGTTCCTTTATGAGATCTTTCCGTTCGCCTTTTAGAGTATACTTTTTTCCACGTTACAAATAAAATGGGTACAGCTACGATTACGCACAATAGTTCGCAAATAAAAAGTACAAATAACATATTTAATGATAAAGCTATAGATATCCTAAAACGAAAACAGAAAAATTTAATTGGTTTGTAATTAATGGCTAGAATTGTTTCATATTAATTATTTAACATATAGTAATTTTCAATAATTATTTGACGTATTCAAATCTTACATGAGTGTGTAGAAAATCGTATTCCTGCCTTTGGAAAAACTTGAATTTCAAGAAATTATTTTGACACGGTTACACCCGTACGGGGTTATCTATAGTAATTTTGTGAGTTAACGCTATGAAACTTTAATCAATTAAATAATATCTCGCGTTAGGTTAATTCCTGCATGTGAATCGAACAAAACGTATACGTAATACGTATGTATTCAAGTGTAACCTTATGCAAATTTTATTGCTATCTTAACAACTGTGTATCAGCCATTACTTTGTTCTTTGATATACTTAAACTTCATAGTACAAACATAATCAATGTATACACATAGATAGTTACATAAGCAATGTACATTCGTATGTAGTCTATATCCTACAGCTTTAATACTGTACAAAATAAATATTTGTTTGCAATGTAGACTTCAAAATGAAATGCATTATTCTGAAGCAAATCCAGTTCATCGTTATCGTTTAAGATTTTTACATTATTCCTATTATTGTTATTATTATTGTTATTATTACTCATATCAGCGTGAATGATTCTGACCATAATTTTTATAAGGCACAAATACGCATTCTGGTAAGGCTTCAAGTTCAAACCATAGATGGTATCTATCTAGTACATATGTATATTATTTGTATATACGTATGTAAGAAATTACAATTACGTACAGCGCCAATTAGTCTACTGACAAAACGCTCAAACTGTTAACCAAATGATATACCGACAGAGTAAATTACACCAGCGATAGTAGAACCACTTGTGTTTAAATCTCGAATTTCTGCTTGTAATCTGCAGTATCTGTACCGTGTGCATAATATGTGTTCAGATAGCGTTTTGTACAGCGGTAAAACTGTGAAGCGGTAAAAATTGTGAAACTAAATGAAACGTTTATTAATTGTTTATTATAATAAACGATGTGCGAAATTTCATTAATTTATAAATTTCGATGTAATTTCTAAAATGATTTCGAAGCTATTGTGCACTGATGTTCTTGCTATCCACAGCAGACGTAACCTCATTTTCGTAGGTTAGTTCAGGTTATATAAAATTTATTAAAAATTCTAAAATATGTAAAATATGTAAAAAAAAAAAATAATAATAAAACAGAAACATTTTCTCTTAAATTTTGACATCATTTATTCTCTCTATTTCGTTACAGGCGTAGGTACGACATTGCATATTTTTCGTGCTGACACTTTCGTGTTAGAAACAAAAATAGATTGTCTTTATCCAAATAATATACACGGTATTGTCGAAGGTCCTAATAATAAATTAGCTGTGTTCGGTGCTAATACTTTTTGTACTTATCATATTTGTATAAATGAAGAAACTTTGCAGTAAGTATGTCTTAAATATAGTTTTAATTGTTTCTTAAAACGAAATATTTATTTTAGGATTAAAGAAGATAATAACAAAGAGTTTCTGAACAATTGGATAATAACAGCGAACTGGCTTACTTTTTCTAAGTGTGATTATTTAGTTATTTTATCGGCTCATAATAGCGTATATATATACAATACGTCCAACAAACATTACCAAGAACAATGGTGCAAAGAAAAGTGTATTCTGTATCCTTCTTTAAACATATTGAAACAATAACTTGATAAATAAACTTAACTGTATTCGAAATAGATACGCTGGTTTCATTTTCGTGAAAAATAACAAAGACTTGGTAGTCTTTAGTGGGACCGTTTTTCAAGAAATATTAATATGGGAATTAAATCCTATTAATTGTACGAATAAAGCTATGTCAGTTTTACACCGTTTACAGGGACATAATGTTAGTATTAGTTGATATTAATAAAATGGTAAAGTTCTTATAGATTTTGCTATCTGAACAAATTTTTTTCAGGGTGTAATTTTTTCAGTTATATTCGATCCAGTTACAAACTTTATTTGTTCTACATCCGATGATAGAACAATCAGATTATGGTCAATAAATTGTAACAGTAGAGAAAATGAAACCGATGTGAATTGGAAAAATGCAAAAATAATGCTAACGAGAACCATCTTTGGGCATACAGCTAGGGTATGGAAGTGTATTATTAATAATGACACTTTAATAACAATAGGTGAAGTAAGTAATGTAAAACGTGAAATATTATTAATGGTATTCTGTATTTTAATTTATTTACAATTTAAGGATTCTCTTATGTGCGTCTGGTCATTGAATGGTAAATTACTTAACAAAATTTGTGCTCATCATGGGGCTGCTATATGGAGCATTGATACATCGGACGATAATAAATATGTTTTTACTGGTGGAGCTGATGGTGCGGTTCACGTATGGCCTCTTGTTAACAATTACGTTCAAAAGGTTTTTGTAATACCCAAAAACTTTTTGTGTTCTTCGCCAAAACGTGTTTGTTCTTTATGTAATGGAAACTTTTTGGTCTTCAATGAAGATGGGAATCTTTTTGTTGTTAATAAGTTGTACAGCGATCCAATCGAATCACTATATCTAAAGAAATATAGTTCATATTGTGTTATGGAAGTATCATTATGCCGATCTTGTATTTGCTTTGCATCAAGAGATGGGGACATATGTATCTATAAAGGTAGATGTTATTGAACCGTATTGTATGTATACAGGGTGAAAAGTCTGCGAGAAGACTCTTCCTCATTATCAAAAGTATATTAATCATTTAATTATTTGTACAACATGTTTTCAGTAAGTATTAAGAAACTAGAACTAATTCTCGAAGAAAAGATAATGGACTGTCAGATCCTTTCTATTCAATGGTTACAAGATAATAAAATAATAGCGTGTGGATCAGATGGAATATTGAAAATAGTTGCCTTCGATATGACAGGTATATACATATATACATACTATATGTATGTATGCGCATACACGGGGTGTTTTTGGGTTAAATCAGCAAACTTTAGATATGAATTTAGGATTGTAAAACAAATAAATTTCTCCATAAGTATAAAACGCTAAATAAATATAAACGTTTTCTTTAAAAGATATTTGCTACTAAAGTTGTACGACTTGGTATAATGTATGCCATTGAAATAATTCAGATCTATCACGTATACTACTAAAGAAAATTGTTGTATTTATTGTAAAAATAATTGTAATACTTACATGTGTTGTACAAAACGATTACCTTCAGTTTGCAAATAAACATTACTACGTTGTTTATTTTAGCATCCTAAATTCATCTTTAAAGTTTGACGATTTTGAAACCGAGAACACTCTGTGTACATACGATATGTCCTACATACACGAATTTGTAGTTACGTATTTTAATTTGATTGCATTTCGCACATAGCATCTATTACTATAGAATCAACGTGTTCGTTACCACCAAGTCGAGAACGTTGGCTGACAGCTGCGGTACTTTACGAAGGATTATTAATATGCGGTGATAGAGCTGGAAATATGCACGTTTTCAAACTTAAAGAATACGTTTTACACAAGGAAGTATATATAAAGGAGACTAACGATAAACCTATTCAAACTTTTACTAAAGTTCATGGAAAAGTTGGCATTCAAAGCTTTCTAATACTAGATTCAAAATTGGTATCATCGGGTCGTGATGGAATGTTAAGATTTTACGAATTGAGCGAACACGAAAATTCCAAACTGTTACGTATTTTACATAAAAAAAAAATGCCAATGGATTGGATCAGTGGGAGTATAAAAATTTCAGATGACATCCTGATATTGGGTTTCAAGGAGGTATAAACATTTGAAAAGATCTGATTTCATTCGATCGATATGTTTCATTATTTTCTTGCGATCACTTTCAGGTAGAGTTTTTGGTGTACAGCATGTTTTATCGCAGAACAATAGCAAGAATTCCTTGCGGCGGTGGTCACAGGTCATGGGATTGTATGTTATCCGGTGAATTAATCACATTTCTTTATATTCGTAACAAACGAGTACATGTTTTTGAATTTTCATTAAATTCTATCGAATCACCAGTTTTATTAGTAAGTAATTAATTTGTAATTAATTTACGTTGAAAGCTAAAAGCTAAAACGACGAGAACATTTTCGTTGTTTTATTTTGAAACTTCTAGAATGGTTTCCATACGAAAGAAGTGTATTGTATCGAACCTATACTGAAATTAAATCAAGAGAATGTTTTAATATCTGGAGGAGAAGATGGCAGTCTACGTGTCTCAACTATTACAAATACATTGATAAAGAACAATTTGAGTTTCCGAACGTTGGTCATTTTTAATGGGCATATATCCAGCATAAAATCTATAATTTCCGTGTGTTTGCAATCGAATTTATTATGCAGTAAATACCTTGTCTTCTCGGTTGGTGGAAGAGCACAAGTAAAAGTATGGGAAATCGATATAAAAAACTGTGAGACCACTCTAAAAGACTCGGACATTTCTTGTTCTGACGTTACATCTCACATGCTATACGGAATCGACCAAATTCGAAGGAAACAATCGCAAGAACATAATCAGTCTTACATTATTCAACCTGAGACACGATATATGGATATTACGATCTATCGTGATATACAGAATTTAGATTGCATATTCCTTTTTATTGCTTGTGCAGATGGATTCGTCAGGTAAATCGTTTATTTAATTAGTTTTCTTACACAATTTAATACTGTGTAGCAGTAGAGAGTTAGCCATAAAGGTTGTTTATTTTTTTCTTTCTTTTTCTTTTCCATGAAATATTTCTAGAAAAACGGAACGAACATTTCTTCTTTGTTACATTTCATTTACAGGACATTTTTATATAATTTGAGAACGAAATATGTCTCGTTAAAAATACATGTGAAAATTGTCGACCGTTGCGTAGTGAAAATAAGTATTTTAAAGTTTGATGAAAAAGTAATTCTATTAACGATGTCAACCGATGGAGTTGGTCGTTTTATCGATTTTACCGAAATAATTTCGAAAATATCAAAAGGAATGCGAAGCGACAATCAAGAATTAGACGACTGTACCGATATGATTCTTGCGAAATTCAAATTACATCAATCTGGAATTAATTCATACGCCATAAAAACAATTAAGAAGGACGAGTATTTATTGGCAACTGGTGGCGATGATAATTTATTCAATCTTATACATTTTAAAATTTCTTCATCCGAAGATGGTGAACAAGTACACATTTTATTACTATCAAAATGGAATACGTCGACCGCACATTTTGCACAAATTACAGGTCTGCCTAAAAATCTTGTGGAACTGTTCTGTTCTTTGATAAACGAATTCTTTGAATATAGCTTGTATTTGTTTTAGGTATAAAGTTTCACGAAGAAGATAAAATTTTTAGCATTGGATTGGACCAACAAATCAATATGTACAATTATAGTTTCGCCAATGATATTTTATCTGTGAAAGTATTGAAAACTATTTTCACGTTCGTGACAGATGTAAAAGGCTTAACTTTGTGGGATACACCAAAGTATGCATTTTTGAAGAATACATTACCCTTTAAATTGGTCACAAATGTGTCTATATTTTAGATATTATTTTTTTCTTTTAGGAATGGATCAGCTATATGTGCTTATGGTAAAGGTTTTGAAGTTTTACTTTGTTAATGACAACTATGTACAACAAATTTATGGTAATAGGTAACACACTGTTTTCGAAAAATATTTCAAACTAAAACGGTTACATCTGTATTCTGTTTTTTCAATTAAATTCAAAATATTTGTAATTCTCCTTTTAATCGACAGATGGCGAGTGCACAGGAAGACAACACATTAAGTTCAATACATTCAATGTTGAAACATTCGAATATCATTGTTTTGTTACCGAAATATTTTTAATAAAGACATATATTAACGAGAGAATATTGGTTTATAAAAATGACAACTATTACAATATCAGCAGTTCGAACGCGAACAAGCATCCTTGATAAATCACTGAGTAAAGGGAAAGGAGAGGTTAGCCTTAGTTGTTTTGCACTTTTGTTCTCAGAACTTGTACAGTACTGTCAGAATCGAGTTTACACCGTACCAGAATTACAAAACAAGTACGTAGATCAACGAAACGATGAAAGATTTGCCTGTAAACGGAACGTTTTCATATTTATTGTTTAGATTAGCAGAAATAGGCTCGGAGGTTGGGCATAGAATAACAGACCTTTTAGTTATTCGAGAAAAAGGAGGAAAGCGCGAGATCAAATTATTGAACATTTTATTGTTCATCAAAAGCACGGTCTGGAAGTCTTTATTTGGTCGCGAGGCTGACAAATTGGAACACGCAAACGACGACGAGCGTACCTACTACATTATAGAGAAAGAAGCATTAGTGAATAAGTTTATATCAGTACCGAAAGATAAAGGAAGTCTCAATTGTGCTTCTTTTATTGCTGGGATAGTTGAAGCTATTCTTTGCGATTGCGGTTTTGTGAGTAGAAACTCAAAGTTTATTCTATGAATTTTAAAGATTATGTGCATTATTGTATTCTACGAATCTATTTTGAAATAATTACAAGTAATTCTATATTTTGCACCCAGCCAGCAAAGGTAACAGCGCATTGGCATAAAGGAACAACATATATGGTTAAATTTGATGATGCAGTTGTTGCTCGTGACAAGCAATTAGAAGATCGGTAAATATAGGTAAGAAAGAAGAAGGATTGTTATGATGTATTCATTCTACATGAATATAAAAAAAGCAAAGAAAATGTGTCCAATGAATTTAGAAAAAATTCATTATAATTGTTTTAGTTGTTAGTAATGTAGTCTTGTTACTTAAACCAAATTAAACATTTTATAAGTTCTACCGATACATTTACTACGCATCAAATTTACTTTAAATATCTCGATTATAACATTGATAGTTACAATAAAACTATACACAACTTGGATTTGTAGAATAACAATTTTATTGCATGTATTTTTCTAGATACATACTACGATAAACGATTTATTCTACATTTATTATTATTATATTCTAAATTTATAAACCACATCAGCATATTTCGTTTGCCCGGTCCACAATTTCTTTCTTGTCTCATCCTGTAACAATCAATTTTTTTTAATCTTATACTATACATGTCGTTTAATGTTGTTATTAAGAGACGAACAAATTACCTGCTCTTGCACTATTGTATTACGAGTAGCCCACATGGTAAACATCAGCAGTAATGTACCAATTGTAAAATTTCTTAGATTTATTCTATCAAGTAAATGATAGTATTGTCTCACGTAACTATATCTATGTATCCCTGGGTCCATCTGTATATTCAAGACATAACATTATTATGTGTAACGATATTCCAATTGTTAACCATTATTTATGAAACAAACTGGTATGCGCCATTAATAAAAAATACAAAAAATTAATACCGTCTAATGAATGTCTTACATAATTTTCACATTTCGTACAAGTGCTGTTCAGATATATAATGTATAACTTTGAGAACCAATTGAATAGGAAGTAAAGAACGAAAGCAACTATAGATTACGTTTAATTAAGTTTTCTTTCATATAAATTTCAAAGTCATGCAAGTGAGGTTAGCAATTGAAAGGTACGTACAACAAGTTTTTGATTTACTGGATTATGGACTTGTTTCAAATAGGATTCGCGCAATTGTTTTCTTCTTGCAGCTTGCCATTCTAGTACTTCTCTGTCTTTCGCAGAAATATCGTACAATTCTACTCTCTTTGAACCCATTTTTTAAACAGGAAATCTCAATACGCGTACACCCTGTACATATGCACATGCATTAGTACATTATACGACATACATACTTACGTATGTATATGTACAGTAGCTCACGAAAGTATTCGAACGCCTTTTAAAATGTAATAACTTTTTTAAAACTGGACTAAGGGACTTGAATTTTCTTTCAGATGATAGCGAGTCTAGTCTACCAGACGATGACCAAAGTGCTTTTTTCAAATTTTGCTATTACTTGGAATGACGAAAAGAAATAAAAAGAACTCTCGCTTTTTTTTAACTTTTTTATCTGAGCCTATAACGAAAATTTAAAAAATGCCTCTCGTAGATCTCGGTAATTTATATGCGTGTTGAAAATTCGAATACTTTCGTAAGCTACTGTATGTAGCACTTAAGGCAGACCCACATTTGTCAGAAACGAACCTCCTGTCGAAACCACGATGTACATACATGTGTACATGTATACATATCATTTCGTGTAACCTAAAACTTAAAACTGATTTTCCGCGTATTATTCCTGCGTGAACAGAGGAATCATTTCAGAAACAGAAATATTTTATAAATTAAACTATCTGTCCGCATCCAAGAAAATGGTATTNTCCAATTGTTAACCATTATTTATGAAACAAACTGGTATGCGCCATTAATAAAAAATACAAAAAATTAATACCGTCTAATGAATGTCTTACATAATTTTCACATTTCGTACAAGTGCTGTTCAGATATATAATGTATAACTTTGAGAACCAATTGAATAGGAAGTAAAGAACGAAAGCAACTATAGATTACGTTTAATTAAGTTTTCTTTCATATAAATTTCAAAGTCATGCAAGTGAGGTTAGCAATTGAAAGGTACGTACAACAAGTTTTTGATTTACTGGATTATGGACTTGTTTCAAATAGGATTCGCGCAATTGTTTTCTTCTTGCAGCTTGCCATTCTAGTACTTCTCTGTCTTTCGCAGAAATATCGTACAATTCTACTCTCTTTGAACCCATTTTTTAAACAGGAAATCTCAATACGCGTACACCCTGTACATATGCACATGCATTAGTACATTATACGACATACATACTTACGTATGTATATGTACAGTAGCTCACGAAAGTATTCGAACGCCTTTTAAAATGTAATAACTTTTTTAAAACTGGACTAAGGGACTTGAATTTTCTTTCAGATGATAGCGAGTCTAGTCTACCAGACGATGACCAAAGTGCTTTTTTCAAATTTTGCTATTACTTGGAATGACGAAAAGAAATAAAAAGAACTCTCGCTTTTTTTTAACTTTTTTATCTGAGCCTATAACGAAAATTTAAAAAATGCCTCTCGTAGATCTCGGTAATTTATATGCGTGTTGAAAATTCGAATACTTTCGTAAGCTACTGTATGTAGCACTTAAGGCAGACCCACATTTGTCAGAAACGAACCTCCTGTCGAAACCACGATGTACATACATGTGTACATGTATACATATCATTTCGTGTAACCTAAAACTTAAAACTGATTTTCCGCGTATTATTCCTGCGTGAACAGAGGAATCATTTCAGAAACAGAAATATTTTATAAATTAAACTATCTGTCCGCATCCAAGAAAATGGTATTTTTAACTGCTCAATTGTTCCCAAGATCTCGAGGCCCAGATGAATTTTGGCGAAAACGACAAATATTTAAACTAGCTGCTGTAAGTGTAATTGCCATATTCAGTTGTAATATAAAACAAAATAAATTTGCTGTAAGTATTCCATATCTTTTCTTTTTCCATTAAAATTGGACTGTTCAATTATTTAGCACTACATCGGCAGAAAAAGAAACTGTTACAGCATAGCTATCAGAAATGTACACAGGGCATTGTTAAACTCAACAATTGGAAGACAACTTAAAAAGGACGATATGAAAGAGGTAACACGTATCATTTCCTTTTTTGTCAAACATTCTACAATCGATGAAATAATTATTTACAGCTTTGGGAAACAAGAATAGAAGCTGCTAGTAATGAACATGGCATTAATTTGAGAACATTGATCGAAGGATTGACCAGGTGTAATATTTTACTGAATCGCAAATCTCTAGCAACTCTAGCCGTATGGGAACCACGAACGTTTAAAAGTTTATCAGGCATTGCTCACGCAAAAGTAAATATAGGAGATATTACAAAGATCGCGAATAAGCCTATGCCTGAAAGAGTTTTAACCAAGGGATTAGTAGACGATTAAGTAAACAGATTTAATTGTAACATTTATTATGCTGCGGATAATTAAATATTTACACGAAACGTATACTCTGAAAACTCTTTAGATAAAGAACAGAATAAAATATCATTATCTGCAATTTATTTTATTGCATTGAAATTTCTCTAAGTTTAAACAATACTTTTATAGTTGAGAATATCTGATCTTACTGTTTGGCGTTAACAATTTTTACAAAATCCGGTTTCAAAGACGCCCCTCCAACTAAGAATCCGTCAATATCTTTTTCTTTTGCCAGATCTTTCGCATTTTCCGCTGTCACTGATCCTCCGTAAATAATTTGAACATTTTCAGCAACTGTTGGATTCAGATTAGTACAGAACCATTGTCTCAGTTTATCGTGTACTTCTTGAGCTTGCTGAGGAGTGGCCGTTTTTCCAGTTCCAATTGCCCATACTGGTTCATAGGCAACAACTACATTATCCCAAGATTTTATCTTATCCGCGATAGCTTTGGTTTGCCTATAGACTACTTCTTCAGTTTTACCAGCCTCACGCTCCTCCAATTTTTCTCCGATACACGCGATTACCTTTATATTGAAAGTATTCCCATTAATACAAAAGTTGTACAGAGAGAGAGAGAGAGAGAGAGAGAGAGAGAAGAAATAATATTGTTTGGTAGAAAAATTTTACTTACCTTTAACCCTGTATCTAAAGCGTGAGCTACTTTCTCTGCTATTAATTCATCATTTTCACCAAAGACATTTCTCCGTTCAGAATGGCCAAGTATTACCCAATGAATTCCATTGTCTAATAGCATAGCAGGACTGATTTCTCCAGTAAATGCTCCTTTTGCTACTTTATACGTATTTTGGGCACTGACGGCAACATTATCGGGTAATATACTTTTCGCGTATGTCAAATATATTGACGGTACTCCAACAACAACCTCTGTTATAGCAATACTATTAGTATTATGAAAGTATTAGTTCAATATTTTCGTGTTTTGATTACACGATCAGATATATTACAGTACAGTCATGAGTTACATGATCTTTTTCAATCTTACACGAGAAGCACGAGAGATGAATTGTAAATTGTAAATTGTTGTAACATACGTAATAAACATACCAACATTTGGATCTAGAGGACCAGTTTTTAAAAACGCAACGATACCATCTATTTCATTTTTGGTTCCATTCATTTTCCAATTACCACCGACGAAAAATTTACGACCCATGGCTGCTGTGCTGTCTACTAACTTGTACGAATTATCAATTGAACCACGATTGCAATTTGTTAACGAACCTGGAACAAATTTCAAAAAATACTCTACTGACCTTCACGAGTACAGAAGGTGAATTTGGTCACGTCTACCCCCAATCTCGTTTCACCAAATCCCCTCTCCGAATTTCCTATTGTACAATTTTTACGTATGCACAAACGCACGCGCGCGCACGCGTGTACATGCATTGTGTAACGTGACAGTCACAAATGGTCACAAAGGGATATATATATATATATATATATATATATATATATATATATATATAGGTATCTACAATATTTTGAACATTCCAACTAATAAGACAAAGGTTCTCGACATATTATTGATATTAGTTTGTTCCGTCTCAGCAGTGAATCATTAGCAAAATTCGAGCAAAGAAAATTTCTATACCGGACCCTCGCTAACGGATCAATCTGCGGCCTGGAGTTGTGCAGGAGTAGGACCCGTTACCGTATTTAATCATTGATTAAATAGAAGATTTCGATCTATGTATCTATCGATGGTAAGTCTGCATTTTATGTTATTTTATCTTCAAATAATGTAGCCCAGAGAGATATTTATGTATAAAGTCAAAATATAAATCACAAACACACAAGGTCTTAATTAATTTCTTAATAAAGGTTTTTCGGAAAATTTTTATTTTATAGGTTAAGGAATATGTCGTTGACACATTTGACGTTCTCGGAAAACCAGTTTGAGTTTTCTTTTTTTTTTTTGATTACCCAAGAGTCAAACATGCAATGCACTTACATTGATTGAGAAATTTCTTGTTTAAAGAATCCATATAAAACATCTTCAAAAGATTATCACTAAGGAAATGAACAGTTGACTTTTTAATTACCATGTTTGAAGCCATGTATCATTATGAAGTTGCTTCGAAAAACTATAGAATGGTTTTTCACGATATCAGAGTTGTCATTTATTTCATAACGAAATTAATATTTTGGCTATTTTTCTATATAGAAGCTTTAGTATGTTTACACGTATTAATATATATTTTACATTATAAACATACCACTGTAACACATTAATTTGATAAGTCATGATTCAATTATCGATGTTAAATGTGGACAATTTTGTACACACGTTTGTTCAAAATTTAAGTTTAAAACTTGAATTCCCTGTTTGTAAAAATCACTCCAAAATCACATTTATTAAGTATGTTGATAAAGCTTATAGAATTAAACATCGATCATCATTCGCAGTCGAAAAGATCAGAAAGATTGATGTACAACAAAATTTAGATTTCTCTAATGAAAGAAACATACTATATTTCATGAACGAGAATGCCAGTTTCTTTGACAAATTGAATTCTTTGAGCAATAAACAGATATTAGCTTCGCACTTAAATAATATTAATGCAAGAATACTGCAGAAAGCAAAAGCAAAGAAACGAAATATTGAGAATATTAAGAAAATGGAACTCAAAGTATTGAATAAAAATATATCTTGTAAGAAAAAAGTGAAAGCAAGTATAAGGCATAAATTGTGCGAATTGAAAACGGAGGTATTACCTAGATTCCATAGAGATAAGAATATTAATTTACAAACAAATACGAAAAGCAATTTTAATGAGGCAGCTATAATTGAAGATAATGATAGAATCTGTAATGAATCTACTCATCCTAACAGTTACAAAAGTATTGATCGCTTTGAACCAAAATATGGTGATCGGAAAACATTGATTAAAAATAATTGGTCAAAAAATCTGATAGACATTACAAAAGAGGAAATAGAAACGGCAAGAAAAATCTTATGGTTCCATGCAAAAGATATAGAATTTCTTAGGAGGAAACTGCATGTTTCTCTTTATATTGCAAAGGTTATATAATAATATTATTGATTGTATTTATTTAAAGAACTTTCAGTTTTATTTTATTCGCTTCAACATTTATTATACAGAATAAAAATTATGGTGTCGACACAAGCAACCGAATGATATACAATCAACTCCTCTGTCACCATGCAATTTTATGTTTGATCGAGCCAAGTGACAAAGTTTTTGTTTTAGTCGAGGATGATTTAACGCTTGTTATTAAAAAGTATCTATTGCAAGGATATAACTATCATTTTGAATGTCAAAGGTATTTGATTTTAAAAGGGGAAGTTAGCATTTATACATATATATATATATATACATTTTTTTTTCTTCTCTTTTTAAGAATTATATTATAGGATCACAAAGAGATGAAATGTTATTATTTCTTTAATAGAGATTCGCAGAGCTATTTTACTGCTTTGATTACTTTAAATCGGTGGGCTAAAGTTTTAGTTCAACACTCAAATACAACAATGATGCAGACAATTTGTGGTATACTTGGATGCAATGTGCATGAAATATTAGTTTTACGTGGTCCTTAAGAAAAATTGTTGCAGTATTTTAATATAAATGTAATGTTGCTGCTTAATAAAGACATTTTGACAGTACTATTTATAAATATGAATGTGCATTCATGCGTTTCATTGATGGTATTTCATAGATAAAATGAGAAAATGGTGAGCGAAGAAATAGTGGAGTTTAATAAGAAGTCACAGCCGATCTTCAAGAATCCAGTTTTTCAGCAAAAATTCCGGCCAACTAGTACTACTGGAAAGAAAAGAACCTGGCGCTCGTTAAAGCAGGTTTTGGCTCAAGAACGTGCATTACCGTGGCCCATAGAAATAGTACATTGTATGAATTATTTTTCAACAAATTAGTAAAGTAAGGACAAAGGACAGGTTTATCGTTGTGTTACACAACTTTCAGATAGTTCTATTAATGCACCGCCAAGCTTCAGACCAGCAAAGAAATACTCGGACATTTCTGGACTACCGGTACATGTATAGTAAATCTGTTTGTACAATTACACAATTAATTTAATTGTTACAACATAGGCATTAAATAGGTTTGATTTCATATAGGCACGATACACGGATCCACAAACCAAGCTATATTATGCAACCGCTGAAGAGTTTGCAACAGTTCGAAGTTTACCAATGGATATAACTGCTGGATACCTGGCATTACGCGGTGCTTCTAGTATAGTTGGTTAATTTGTAAAATTCATGAATTCCTTCTATATAACCTTAGACACCTAGCTTATGAAATGAGAAACAATAGTTTTATAATTGTATATTTATTACAGATATACTTTAAATGAACAAACACAATATATAATTCTGCAAATTTTTTATGTTGTACAGTACATATAAACAGAAATATCTTAATTTGTTCACATTTAATTATATAAACTGATTTATACACGATCTACTCTCCTTTTCGACGGGATTCCCTGAAATAAACAACTGCACAAATAATTTAAATCATTTTCATTATTTTACCTTCATCTTTTACATAAGTAATCATTATTAAAAAAGCTTGTCCATTATAACTTAGCGTATGAACTACAGACTATAAAAGATCAGAAGAGAATCTTTAAAAAGTATATTACTGTTCATTCCATCGACCGCTGTATTCTTTTTCTGTTTACAGTTCTTTGCACACCTTTATCGATTTCTTTGCTACTGCATCACGGGCTGTCACAGCAAGATTGCAAAACTTATTTGCAATTGAAAATACAAATAGCATGGCCTACTGAAATATCGCCTGGTGGTGCACTATTCTTAGGTCGCCCCTTTTTTATTTTTAACGTTTTTTGAATGTAAATTATTTTAAAGTAGCATAAAAATTTTTCACTCAATTAGGTCAGGTAAATCATCATCGTCGCTATCAATTTCATTGCCTTCGTCTCCCATATCCTCGAATGTTTCGAAATGTGGCTTACTGGATCCTGAACCACCCGAACCACCTAAGCCACCCATTTGTCTCATCATCTGTAAGCGAACGACGAGATTAATAAACTATGATTACATCTGCTGCAAGCTAGAAGTATGAAAAGTTTCGAAGAAAAGGATGGTTTCCTTACCTCTTCTAAATTATTGTTTTCCACCCCGATGCCATTTTCATTCTCACTGTCGTCTTCGTCCTTCCACTTGTTGAAATCGCTCTTTAGCCAATGAGCTTTTGTTTTTTCTGCTGTTAATCTTGGCCAATACGGGCCACCTTGTTTTTTAGAAAGAACTAACTCAAAAGTCCTTCCTTTTAAGTATTTAATCGTTCTGCGTGGAACAATTTCACCGTATAGATCGATCGTAAGTTCATGCATTTTCTGTTCTGTCCCGCCGACTCCCTTAAAATATATCTTTTCTGGTTCAATTTCAATAATGTGATCTTTACAATCTTCTAAGCAGATGGTAACATATAAAATGTCGTTCCTCTGTGCCCACATAACAGGTGGCGGAGGCAATCTAAAAGTAGCAAA